TGCGGAGCTAACAGCGAAGTGATGAAACGAGGGCGTTGCACGGGCGAAAGAGGGCTCAACGTACACCGGATTTTCCCTACTTCACCGACTTCCGGTTGCTCGCGTGCCGCAATTCTATCGCCCACATCTGGATCTTTCCTTCTGCCGATCTTGGCCGCATAACCCAATTTCTACTACGCGAGCCTTTCGCCCATTCGATATCAAAAGTAGCAGCGTGGGTCATCGAGCGATCAATCGAGCGCGCTGATATCGATCGACATACCGGTTTTATGGAAAAAAAAATCTTCCTTTCACGCGCCCGATCCGTCTCGATAAGGAAACCTCCCCCATGAAGAGAAAGAAGACCTCGCGCTTCGGAAGCGGGCCTTGAATCGACTCTGGAAATCGTTAGGTCGGGCGAGACTCTCTCTAGGGGGGTCGTCGACGACAAGCTGCGGCGTCTATCGAGACGCGGGGCGTTCCGCGCGCGTTCTCTCCCGCAGGAGGAGCCCCGTGGCACCAGGGTCTTCCGTTAGTTCATCGTCTTCCGGTGACTTCCGGTGGCCTCTAACGAGGGACAATGCTCCTGGTGCACGCTGTGCACGCGGCGCACAACAATCGCGTCTCAAGTTCCTCCAGGCGGGAGGGCGGTGCTGGCAACGCTCGCTCTCCTTGTCTCCGCTTCCCATTCTTCCTTCTTCTCGACTACTTATGCCACATAACGTGGCTCTCAATGGCACATTAGAAGGCAGCGAGCGCTTCGAAGGGCCGATGCTGTGTGTGTGTACAACGCCGCGCTGAGAAGGAGCGAGCGAGCGAGCAAGGGGAAGAGAGAGAGAGAGAGAGAGAAATCGCGACTCTCGACTCGAACACAAATTATAGACTCCCGGATCGACCGTTGACGCGACTCGTCGACTCGTAGATTCGCCAATCGCTATTTCGGCCACTCGGGACATGAGCTCACGGCTGTGTACGCACGTCGCTTGCTCCTTGTTCGCGAGCGCGGCAAATGGCATTCACGGACACGCACGTCTCTCGAATCTCGATCCTTTTCAACGGTATCGCAAGCGTCTGGCCCTCTCTCTCTCTCTCTCTCTCTTTCATTCTCTCCGCTTGGTGTCTTTGTGGGGAGACGCACCAATCGCTTCGGGGTAGATCGAGGAGTCGACTACGCGAACTTTACAGGAGACCACTCGAGCGCAAGACGATTGTTTAGTCGCCTCGAGGATTGACTTCTTTCTCTTCTTCTGTTTCCTCAATGAGCCGGCCGCTCCCTTTCTTTCAGCTTTTCCTCTCTCGACCGGCTACATCCTCCGCGCGCCGACCGTTAACGGTCGGCGGAGACGTCGCCGAGCAGTCTGCTCTCTCGGGGTGTCGACAGATTCCCGATCGAGCTCCGGGGGGGATCGCGTAATGAGATATTACACCTCGGGTGCTTGTGCAAAGGCAGATTCTGACGAGTACTGGAAATTTCCTCCTCTTGATTTCTCTCATTCACGAGTAATTTATTTTCTAATAAAGTAGAGAGAGAGAGAGAGAGAGAAAGAGAGAAGTAGGGGGCATCGGAAAATAATCATATTTAATTAAAATTTGTAACAAATGAATACAATAATATGTTGTGCGAGTGAAGATTGAAGTATCTGGAATTTTAAAGAACACGTGATGAATATATAAAAATATACATACGGTGTAGTGATTTTTAATTTTTAATTTTGTACGTAGTCGAAAGGTAAAAGCGAGACAAAGAAGCGGAATCAGCGTTTATTCTCGAACGTCGATTTCTCATTAAAACGCACAATCCGTGCGCGAGGCGCTGAAGGGACAAGCGTTCCTCTATCTGTCGCTCCATCCTTTGACAGTAGCAGTCGGCGACACGCCCGCAAAATTGCTTCCACAGGCATGGTCGCGGCGCGGGAGAGACAATTTTTCGAGGGCTGCGAAAAATATATTAATAACTCCGGTGTTGCAGTAAAGGACGAAGGGCTTCCCGAGAGTAAGGGATGGTATGGTCGGGGGGTCGTGAGTGGCGGGTGAGGTAGAGGGAGGGCAGTAGACCGGGGGTAGCGACGAGGGGGTGGCAAGTGTTTCTGTCAGTTTAATAGCTTCGCGCCTACCTACCTCCTCATCCCTCCCCCTTTACTCCCACAAACTCACCCCATACGCGCACACTTTGCCGCCGACATTACAGCATCGTCACTCCACGTGTCAGAAGTTGCGCCAGACGTAGGAGGTCTGCTTAGATCTGATAACCCTTTGATATTCCCGTTATTTATTGCCCCCTTCGTCGTCGTTGTCGTCGACGGCCAGCTTCGCTGACGACGTCACACGCGTGAGAGAATCGATCGGGGTCAATTCTCGGAGAATTTCCGCACGAATATGCTTCGCGAGAAACCACGACGCGATACAAAGGACGACAACTGATGATAAAAAGGACAATATTTTCACACGCGATACGCGTCGAGGTGGAAAACGATGTTGCGATCGCCGACACTCTTCTTCACGTAATAATCGCGATATTATGCGGCATTACGTATATTAAACGGATAGTAATAAATATCTAATTTATTACGCTAACGCTAGTGTAATAATATTTGTATAAATCTTTTAATTATAAATATTTGCCAAACCTGTGTGTATAATGTACATATAATATGGAAATAATGCATCGCAGGAGTAAACGTACGCAGTATATTTGACGAATTTTAGTATTTGATTATATTTATTTTGTTATTTAACTTCCCGTCACGGCTGTGTAATTGAATTGTTCAAATTTGCTTGTTACACATTTTATTTAACTCATCAACTGTCGAACACGTGACAACAAATATCGCGTTATCGTATGATGAGTTATCGCTTATTGTGTAACTCGTAAACACAAATTTCGTACTCGTTAACGTATCGTTGCGCAGCTATTTTGTGATACATTTTACTTGCGTATAGATATATAACGCATATGTAACGCATACGTTAACAGTTGTAGAACAAGGATGCCGGTCATTTTTGCGCCGTTATTATCTTCGTTTCTCTACTTTATCCATTAAGAGAGCCCATAGAGCGCGTCTCGAAGCCACCAGGAAATCAACCGGTCAGTGTAGCGTTCTCGGCTTGTCAAAGGATACGATTTCCTGACGCGTTGCTCGACGGCACGAAGGTGCGCGCAATAGGTGATATCAACATCCGAGATGGAGACATTTTTATGCCGGTGTAAATCAAGCCCCTCCAAATATTGCGCGAAGGACGAAGTCGGCGCTGAATGAACGAAGGGTACCCGGCGTTGCCGGCCATAAAGAATGATATAACTGCACGCGACACATGTCTTCCCGGCTGCGAAACACAGTCATATCGTTGTTACTACCCGCTTTTCCGCGCGCGCCTGTGCGATTTCGCCGGCTACCAGAAATGAAGATTTGTTTCGGCGTCTTTCAGCCCGTCATATATTCCCGCCGCGGTCGTCTTGATTTTATGGCGCGCGAGATTTAAATCGTCGTCTCCGAAATGAACAGGATAAACGTGAACGAATAACTTTCGATTATTCCTTTTCTATTTCTTTTTCTTTTCATAAGATAAGGACGAGGAGAAAGAGAGAGAAGAAAGAAATATGCATGACCGAGATAGCTGTCACGTATTTTCACGCGAGATCGAGTTTCAATAAAAAATTAGAAAAAATGTGGACGAATGTGAGAGTAATCGAAATGGCTCGCTACGTCAGCTTCCCGATGGTAACGATTTTTGTGAAAATTTTGACGTTGGCGGTTAAAACGAACGTTACGTATTCATAGAAGGCGATTTTTTTCCATGGAAAAGTAAGGCACGACAATATACGCGAGATTGACGTTTCCGATACTCCTTCGATCGACTTTGAAGTCGATCCGATGGACAAATCACGGCGAATTGTGATGTGTGGTTGGAAAAAAATCGGGAATTGGTCGGGAGGTTCGTGACAGCCACTTTTCGCAAGGAAAAAAGTGGTCACCCTTGTCCAATAAGGGGTTTGATGCTTGTCCCGCTGACCTTGTCTCCGCGTGGGGTCTTTTCTGCTTCACGTCCTCGTCGAGACGCTTTCCGACGAAGGTTTTTTGCGATAAAAAATGCCTTGGTACGTTGACATCTTACCACCGACTACCAATAAAGTCTCGAAGGTTTTGGCGTCAGCGCGTCCCTTCTCGCGTATGAAACAACTATTATGGAAAGATGTAAAACGTCGATGTAGAAAAATAACACGCCAACCGCCAGTCTCGATTTTATTCAGACCCGAGACCAGATCGACTGAACCCATAAACCCATGGTCTGTCACGCCGAAACTATTTCAGTTTCAAAGCATTCCTACGTGTAAAAAAGAAAATTAATATTTTTTCAGATAGACGCGCTTTTCCAAATTTTCTTCCATACACAGTAAGAGCTCCTTTCTATATATTTTTTATTCATAAAATATTTCTTTCTTTCTTACGAACGTATTTCATATATAATATTCAGCCCTCCAATAATCGAGAAAAATCAAGAACTCCAATGCAAAAATAAAATTCAATAAATAAGATAAGATGAACTCCACGCGGACATACCGAAGCGAATATTTCTCATGGAATCATATAATAAAATCTACTCACACCGGATATAAAGAAGGTATTTCCTCTATCGATTACACAATCAGATCGATTATCCACGTTTTTATTCACACGGAATTGTTGCGTCTTCGATCCTCAGCATGTCCGTCAAAATCGATTCTCCCTCAGCTCCCGAGACTCCGAGAAAAGGAATTCTACGCTCGACTTTGACATTCGGTCACCGCGAAATCTCCTTCGTTATCAGCGTCACGTTACGCTACCCCCTCCCCCATTAGCCCCCTCCATGCGTTCTCTCAGACAGTCGCATTACGCTCCACCGCCGGAGCACCACGTTCCTCTCTCTCTCTCTCTCTCTCTCGAGGGATGCTGTAGTCGCCTTGGTGGGGACCCCAATGCGATAGGGGTGGCTCCGCCCGTGAGCCAACCAGAGGTTCCGCTAGAAGCGACCCGCCACACCCCGTGAATCGTCCCTGGGATCCCGCGAGAACCCTCGTCGTGCCATCCTCTTCTCAACAGATTTTGGATCCTCTAGTCCGCCAAGGGCCTGCTGACACGGAGCAGCGCTCTTCCCGTTGTCCGTTTCTTCCTGGAGTCAGCCGTCTGGAAGGGCTCGAACCACCCCCCGCGATCTCACATCTACAGACCCCCTGAGACTCGAGTCGTCACGGCCGCGTTTTCAACCGATCCAGTCGACCGATCGATCGCTCGATCATGAAGACGGACGACGGCCCGGATCTCCATCGAATGCGCTCGTTGATTTTCGTGATGTTAACGTGATCTCGTGATACCGATGTATGTGTTGGGACATGTGCCGGGAGTGATTGGAGTCATCCTCGTCTCGTCCAGAATCGCTTGGGAGATCCAGGATTCCGGATCCGAGGCGAGTCACCGATGAACGTTCTCGATCTGTCTCGGCCTGTGATCGATCGCACGATGAACGGTAAGTCCGGGTGATCGCGAGCCATAAACTGACATCCCAATGGAGAACGCCCATCGGAAAATTACACGCGACGATGATAGCCGAGTTACACGTCCGTCGACGGATAGAGAAATCAGCGAGAAAGTAGCGAATCGAAGTCATGTCAGTATTGGAACGTGATTGATGTCGTCGGAAGGAGAAGATGAAATGCGACAAGATTCTTTGTGCTCGGTGCGTAACACTATATAAACACTATGACAATGATGATATTGTACTTGGAATGATCTCGATTCGACGTGGTTTTCCGGCCAAATTATTCTCTTTCGAATAGAAACGTCTAAAACGTACTTCGAATCCGTTTCCGGTTCTCAACGAACATACCTTTTTAACTCTCGATGATTTAACGAGCAGCTGCTCCATTCTCGCGTTTATAATTACAGTTTTATCGATGATCGAGAATGAAAAATTACTTGGTTAAAATCAGCTTCGAGTGAAATCGGTGTAACCTGGCAAGCGTCGGATCTTCTTGCACGATGAAGTTATTTCACTTGTTACTTGAGCTTGCCGCGTTTTTGCCTCGACTCGCATACGAAGCCAAGTATCCTCCTACTGTGCTCCAGTCGGCAAACATTGGCGAGGAAGTTTGACCGCAGTCTGTCCGGAAGCCAGACTCCGGAGATTCGATCCTCTGTCTAATTTGGCCTGCCACTTTGCCCGGCAATTTCGTGACACGCTGATAATCTTATCGACGTTTCACGATACTGCCCCCTGGCCGCAGGATCCGACGACAGCCGTTTTTCTAATTAACCTCAATCGTCAATCTGCGCACGATGGAGTAGGGGGATCTGATATTGTCAGCGAGATTGTGCCTTTTAATCGCGCCATTCCGCAGGAGCTTTCGGGCAGAGCGCGTCGTGTTCCGCACGGAACGCGTTGACGTCGCCTTCTCCAGAGGATCCTCGTATCGCCAGGATGTCCTGTGCGGTTAGAGTAACGCGGTCTGCACGGGCGCGAACGTAGCCAACGGTGCAATCGCTCTTCCGACATCTCTTTAGCCGCCAATTTGTTTAATTATCTTTTCCGGAAGTCGCGCTTACATTCCTCGAAACCGGCGGCCAGTCTCCACGTCCTGTCCCGCGGATATTCGAGATGCTTTGCCAGCAGATTTCACTCCGCTCGACGACGATCTTTCCTCGTGAACGTCCGATCGACGCGAGGAAACGTTCGCGTAGCGGTATGTTACATACAGTCGAATAAAAAGTTAATTACCGAGTGCAATTAATCTCGAACGTCGATCGATACAAAACAACGGTTGGTCCGACGTTCAACATCCGTAATCCGGAATATAATGTCGAAATTCCGGCGAATGAGGCCGCAATTTGTCGTGTGAATTTCGAATTTATTTCCTCCCCTCGATAACCCAGCGCGCATAAAATTCACTCGACAATATTTGGATGCGCGCACACTCGGCCTCGTGTGCCTACTTAATACGGCGGATTAATCCATCATTGCTCGATCGTTTGTTAAAGCCTTCGATCGTGAAACGTCAACTCCCGATATATTCGGCGCATGCAGCTACGTGCGGGCAATCGATAGGCGAACTGCGCGAAGTATCGCACACGCGCATCAATCATCGATCACAATAGACCCGTGCGATGCAAAAGAGTCATTTGCTTTATAACTCACTAACTACTTCACCGCCGTGTGTGTGGATAAACACGTATTATTATTTTCGCAGTAAATAGCACGCGACGCACAATGACAACTGATAGAATAATTTTCATTAACCGTGTATCTCTATACTCTATACCCATAATATCGTAATTATTATTCATTGTTCGCGGAACGTCGTTATGGAGCGTCCGTGACGTGTTCTATACATAGAATCGCGATGAAAGGCCACGACTGTTCCTGCGAACATTTCATCGGAAGGAAATCCAGCTGTTTTATGATATTGAAACAGCGGAAATTGATCCGCATTCGAGTCTGATGCAGAAATTGCCGGTTCTCTCGTGTGCTTGAAAAGAGGAGAGGGAGATGAACAGTTGCAGGATAATCACGAGGGCGTCGAGCTTTTATGGTACAATCTCTTGATTGACATAAAAAGCGGATTCTTCCCACGATTAATTCGTCCAGGGCGTAACGTCGCGCTACAAAGCCGCGGCACTTCGCTCTAATCATCCTTAGTGGGCTCTCGAGCCGCGCTATCATCGGGGATACTGTCACGCATGGCTCGACAAGTATACTCGTACTTCTGTCAAGGGAGAAAATACTCCGGCACTTGTATCCCACAGGAGTCAAAGACCCCTGGCTTTCGAGGGTTTTCCAAATATTGTTCTTATGTCATATCGGCTCCTTGCGCGAGAGGACCCGGCGTGAGTAAAACCCGGCGTTACCCTTCGCGAGATCAGCTCTCTCTCTCTCCCTCTCTTCTTTATGATAATACATGATCAGCGCAAACTAACACCGGCGCTAAACTATGTTTATTCTGTCGATTAGGATCGAATTTTGGACAACAGTATCGTGTTCTATCGCGTTCTTTTTTTCTTCCGAAGCACGCTTATATCGCTTCGCGCGGCTCTTATTTCCTTCTGAGATCAGCGTATGAAATATGAATCCGGGAGGGCAATCACGTTATGATTCTACAAGAGACTGTCGTAATTTGGAGATACGTCCGTGTAAGACGGTTGTTAAATACGCGGAACTTCGTTAACAATACTCGCATGCTTACTTCACGTTCGTCAGCTCGACTTCTTCTCGGTCTCCTATATAGCAGAGAGTATAAATTTACAGTTTAGTAATCTTAGAGTCTCTCTACGCGCTCCCCCTTCTCGGCTTATTATCAGCGATTTATTTTTTCCCATTAGCAGTGACACATGCCGATATCGACTCTCGCAGACGTCCTATCTCCCGGAGCTTCGTGTCGACGAGCATGCCTCGCAGGATCACCGTTTTCTTTTACGACTCGGCCGCGTCGCCGACGTAAGACGGCGGATCCTTAAGTCTTTGTTTACTCTCTCTATTAGAATGGAATTGAGCCGGGGCGTCGTAAAATTGATACTTTTAACGTTTTATTGCGCCACGCGACGTGAGCCGTCTCTCGCGTGCGCTCGGCCACGCTACGTCGAGAACGTATCGTCTTCTCGCTTCTTCGCGGCCCGGTGAACTCTCGATCTCGAGAATGACGCATCCGACGAGGATTTAATTTAATTAAGCGACGTCGAAATCGCAATCGTGAGAACATTTCTCTCCAAGGAATCGCAGTCCTTCGTTCCCTCTCTCCCCCCCCCCTCTTTTCACCCTGTTCATCTTCTCGACCGTTTCTATATTCCTCCTTCGATACACCTGCCAGCTCGTCGCTAAAGCGATCATTTGCTTAGTCGTCGATTCACACGGAACTCGCGCTGTTTGCAGAGGACTCTCGATCTTCGCAGGTTCCTCCGCTGAGCGAACGACGACGACGCGCATAAAGTTCATAGTTTGTTTTTAGATAGCCGATACACCGCGAGAATATCTTTCGATTCGGAGATAAGAGCCGCCATTAAAAAGGGCTCGCATCCGGTCGGTGTGAGTTCTTCAAACAAATCCAGATTCTCGCGCGATGTTCCTTCGCCGCCTCGTGCGTGATATAATTGTCGCGCGTGTGCGGATAATGGATATAACAAATAGGTCTGATACTTTCCGCAGGTGCGAATAGATATTTTGGAAACGTATTTTTTCGAAATGATTTACATCCTTTTGTGATAAATCAGATTGCGTATAGTTTTAAAGTTCCGGAAAAGGCCCGTTTCTTCCCCACTTTTCCACGGATTTCTTAAGTTTCTGTCCCGAGGATACGAAAATTCGGTTAGAAAAATTCACGTATTCCCGGCTAAAGCCCACTACATTTACATTTTTCCATAAAGAAGATAAGAAACGAAATGTCCGCGGAAAAATGTGGAAAGAAATAGTTTTGTTTTTTTCCGAAGCTTTGAAACTATAAAATTGCGTTCGTAATTTTTTTTTCTATTTTGGACCCAGGCGACGAGTTGTTTGCGAACGGTAACTGCGCGAAATCGCTTGATAACACGCGATTGATAGAGTTCCGTTTCTCGCGGATGCCCGTCGCACTGGATGGTGTCACGGTGCATCGAAAACAGCCGACAGGAGGACAATAAAATCCTTATCACAGCAAACATCCTCAGCTTGGGTGTCACCGCATGCACGCGGCAGCTGCGTCGGAGAAACGCTCCGCGGCAGATAGCTCGCTTCAATTGACACTTGTCCTTGTGTGCCTAGGATTTCGTCGAGTCGTAAAGAGCAGGCGGGAAGAGAGTTAAAGAAGGAAAGGGGGGGGGGAGGGAGCGAGGGCGGCAAACAAATTCATTTTAGCTCTCGTGCGAAACGCACACGACGATTTTCCGACCTTCACCGAGACGCCGGAGTTTACACGGAGCCACGACCTTTCTCGCAACAAAACGCTCGCACTCGCGTTTAATATCACGAACCGCGACTTTATTGCGGGAACAACGAGCCGCCGTTTTCCCAGAAATGACCAATCGATACGTCACGTTCCGAAAAGTCTTTCGTCTCTCATCACCGTTCTTGCGCGCAAATCCTTCCCGGTAAATTGGATTTTCGCAAATGGCGCGCAACGTGTCGTCGGTTGATCGCAACGAGAGCGAACGGCGTGACCTTTCGAATCGCGCCGGGCGCGCGTCAAATGGAGGATTTTCACGAAGCGTGCCGATCGATGGATCGAACGCTATTGATTTACGACCCACGCCGTTCACTTTATCTCGATCAAACTGACGGCACCGTTGACGGGATCTACGATTCCCTGGCAGCAAATTTTCCTGAGCCTCGAAACGAACGTGAGCCGTCAAATGAAATTGAATAAAGATTTTACGAAACTGTAGCTGAAATGACTTCGACGAAATATTAAACGAAATTGCACAGGGATTTGGCGGAATCGTGGCTGAAATTAATTAATCGAAATTCGACGCGATGCGACCGGAGACGTCGCTATCGTGTTATAAGCGAACTCGAGGCCTCGTGCTCTCTCCCTCGAGCGTTTCCTCCCGAGATTCATCTGTCGCGTCTCTAAGACCATCGACGCTTTTCTCTTTCCAGGAAGCAGCGACGAAGGCGAGTCGACACCGGGCGCGACTGTACTCGGCGGGGGTGGCGGCGGCGAGAACGCGGAAATGGAGGAAAACGGATCGACTCGCGTGAGCAGCAACAGCGGCAGCAACAATCCCGTCTACAGGGATCTGAAGCCGCTCCAGGCAGGCGGCGCGCACGAGGTCCCGCAGGATTACAACCCGCAGTCGAGGTCCGCCTATCACCACCAGCGCGACTACTCACCGGGGATGGACCGACAGCGGAGTTATGAAAAGGAACATCAGCCATCGCCGTCGGCGCGGGAGGAGGAGAGGAAATCGGCCTGGGATTACAGCGAGAAGAGCGCGCGGAAGGATTACTCGAGGACGCGGGATTTCGGCAATGAATATCGTGAGTTTCACCCCATTCCTCCTTCGGTCGCGCCGCGGAAACGTTCGCGACGTTTGCTCCGGTGATTTGCCGGAACAGCGAGTCGAGAAACACAGATCTTTCAAAGTCTTCACGTTGAAATAACCCATTCGTAATAATTCGTCCGAAGTAATTAAAAAGTCAGGTTATTTCGCTGATACTTATTAATGGTTTGTATCGTCAAATCTTGTATCATACATATATTAACAATTATACCATGTATTATTAAATGTTAGAACTTTATAACAACTTTATAATATATCGTAACATATTATAAAGTGTTATAATTTAATATGAGAACTAAAGGAAATTACAATAAGATGGAGAAATACTAAATTTCATATTTGTTCCTTGATTTCATAGTAAATATGAAACATAATTATTTTATAGCTAACAACACTAATATTATGAAGGTCTTCAAGATTGCAAATTTTAATATAAAAATCTAAAATTTACTAGCAGAAACGCTATTACTTTTAAGAACATTTTTAACGGTGTAAATGTTGTTCAGCGAAGAATCAGCGCGGAACACGAACGCGCTTATTTAGCTGCCTTCTTTCAGCGAAACGCAGCCATTAATGCATACATTTTGCCACCCTATGTATAGCTGCTGTGTTATGATTTTCCTAGATAAAACGGGGTGTGGGCAAGTCATAGGCTTAACCCATTAGATCTAGTTCGGAACGAATCATTGTGAATGGGCGATATATCGTTCGGGAAAGCCGCGATCGTGCGATTCGACGCGAGTGCCAGCACGAGTGAGTGACTCACAGATATCTTGACATCTTCCTTAACGTTTGCATGTCCACAGAAGACGCGATAAAGCAGGAGCCCAAGGATCAGTCGAGTCGCGAATGGGTGTCACCGGTGCCTGAGGTCGAAGTCGGCGGCTCGGCGCCCGGAGGCCCGCACGTACGGGCGCGCAAAGACATCCCTCGTGGTGCCAGATTCGGCCCGTTCCTCGGCAAATGGGCGAGCGAGCCTTTTAACCCCCGTTACGCGTGGGAGGTGAGTCGTATATTTCTTCTCCCGCGGTGTGTATAGACGTGTGTGCGCGTTTATCGCTTTCGCCCGCTTTCGAATTTTCGAGTGGAGGTAGTAGCTGAGGCGGTCGTAAAGCGAATAGGTGCTCGATCAGCTCAAACTGACCTTTCGAAACGAAAGATGTTTGCCGCGCTCTCGATGTCGCGAGATAGTCCTCCGTGCCGCTCTCTTTTCGCTTCTCTTTTCTTCTCCCGAGAAGTTTTGTCCGATTAGCGCGACGAGTATTTTTCCCAACGTCGAATTAATGAAAAGGAAATACGCGATTGCCGGTGTCTTATTTGTGTGAGGGAACGGAAAATAATATTCACGAAAAGTGAGAATACTTTCACGTAATACATATCCGTACGAGGATAGTTAGTTCGATGTTATTGCAAATAAATATATAAAATCTTTACTTCTTCGAAGGACAAAATTTTGCACCGTTGCTGAAATATATCGATTTTCGCTTTCGGCGTGACGTGTGCATGAGAGAGAGATTCGAAATGATCAAGCCTCCGGCATTTTCGAATGTACGCCAGTTCTCCCGTCAATGACACACTCGGGCCTCACGAGGATTCACACGCGAATCTCGTCCGATATCATCGCGAATTCAAGTTGTCGTCGAACCGTTTGAAAGATGATCGATCTGTTTATGGCTCGAGTTCGGCGCAGGAATGTTTCGTTCCGCGTCCGAGCCGATGCCAGTGGGTTTTTCTATCCTCCTGCTATAATCCCGGGGTATTATCCGGCAGATGCCGGCGATGGTGAAGGAAAAAGAGAGCGAGAGCGGGAAAGAGAGATAAAAGCAGACAGAGTCGTCTTCTTGCTTCGACAGCAACCACCTGGCCGACTCGCCGAAGGTGTCATCCACGTTGACAGATCTGTCAATTGGATCGTCTCGGACAGCTATCTTTCTCTCTTTCTCTCTCTCTCTCTCCTCTTCTCTTTCATTTCCTGTCGAAATTTTCAGATTCCTACGGAATCTATTCGAAGACGCATACGCTGAACCGAACATTCCTAAGTCGACCGTAAAATCGGCGTTCGAAGTCACGATCGAGGAATCAGCCCGTGAAATCGTCAACAGATAGCTCCTTTCTGACGCCATAATAAGGGAGCGCTCGCGATTTGCTCGCACATGTCACTCATGTATCGCTAGAATGTCATTCTATATCGGTTTCCGCACTGGGTCGGATATTTTTAGATTACAATACGGCAATACCAGATTGGGACCGATGCAACGAATTCGCGGTTTTCACGGTTCACTTCGTCCCCGGAAGTACGTTGAAATTTGTGTCGCGAGCACGCAAAGATTTCCGGATTTGGACAGTAGGAAACTGATCGGGTACTGGTCCAGAGGGTGTGATAGATATGATAGCGGCGGCGTTAGCGCATGTCGCACTGACAAAATGTAAATGGCACCATCCATCTAACTGCCGACAAAAAGGCAGCCGGGGCCAACTGTCGGACCGGCGATTACAGGATCGATTAAAGCCAAACTACCCCTTCGTTTCGCCGGGCCGATCTATCAACCCCACGCGCGTAAACGTACTATACGAGCGCGCGCGTGAGAGGGAAAACATCGCGAGAGAGATTCGGCCGCGATTTCTCACGTCGATCCGCGTTTATTCGGAACGGCCGCACGAACCGGGCCGTAAAAGCCGAGAGAGAGTTTCCCAAAATCACCCAGATCTCTTATTCGGTTTCCAAAGGCGGTCGAATTGTCTTAATTTTATCACGAGGTCACGGAAATATTTTATCGTGTGAAATTCGGAGGCTTGTTAAATATAGAAAAATTGAAATCAGGGCGATAGGGTGTCTTGCAATTTCCATGACAATGTCGATAACGAATGCCTAGGACAGTTAACAGACCACACAAACCTTTTCTGGAATCCGGTGAGGCAAAAAAGACTCCCTTTCGATCGATTCACACGTTACTTCCCCGATCCTAATCCTTTTCTCACATCCTCCGGGAAACTCGCCTCGAAGTTCTCGAGGCGCGAGATCGACAGAGGGGAAACGTACAGCTCGAAACCGACATTCGCCCCAAATTTCCTCGCTGTTTATCCACTCTGAAATTTCCCGCGGAAGATCGGAAAGTTTTTATAGGATTACCGAATTTGGGGTGATCGCGTCGAATCAATTTCTCTGGCCAATCTAGACGTATCGACTCGCTTGGCGACAAACGTGTAATAATCTTTCAATTAAGCAGAACGAGATAAGATCCTTCCAGGCGTAAGAATCATCATCAGATTCTCAGAGCACCTATCGTTTTTGTTGGTTAGTTCCTGTTGATTTCGCAATTGTTTCACAGTCTGTCATTTCTTCCAAATAAAAAGGCAAAGGTTTATTTCCAAGCTTCGGGAAAAAGTCTACGCTATTTCGCCATACGCGTAACTTGAACATTCAGAAGAAAGAGGCAAAATAACAGTCGTCGTCCTTACGAGGGGTTTGGCTTATTGTCGGGACCCGAATCTGGGAATTGGTTGTCGATAGTTTAGGTATCACCATTACATCACCTGCCGCGAGGTTTCCACCTCGTTTTTCCGAGTCCGCCGGAAAAAAGGGTGAAATAAAATACAAGAGGAAAGGAAGAAATAGAAGAAGAAGAAAGAAAAAACGTGAATGAGACGGCGGAGGGTAGATCGGGATTCTCTCCGCTCTCCCGATGTATCCCGTTCGGTGACGCGTGATCCGCAGGACGACCGACCTGCGGCGTGCCTGCGTGGCGACTAAACCAATCTAAGGCTTAAGTTCACTCGGCCGAGAGACCCCTCGCGTGAGGGCTGGGCTTCAATTTGCCGAATGATTTCGAGAACCCGAGTTAAATGATCAACCGAGTTGCGTTTATTGCACGATGTTGGTCGGCGTTACGGTAGACACGTTTGAAAAATGATTGCGTGTATCGCCCGAATGCGCAAAAATCTATTAGCCTAATGCAGCGTGATATGCGGGGTGTGTATAAACCGTAACGGGAATTAACGTGCTGGACAGTAAACGTCGTTTAAACGATGTGTCGAACGAATGATTTATTTCACGGCACGCGAGCTCGCGAATTTTGTCTTTTAGAAAATATTATTTATCATATTATATCAATGTAAAGAATATTTCAAATTCTGTCTTTTTAACACGCACGCGCCACCAAGTGCAACGCGAATCATCGTCATGTGCGATTCGTAACAAAACCGACCGAGTATTTCTAGTGACAAAATATGAGGGATATTTTAAAGGTGCTTAAACTTGCATTCGAAAGGGATCTCTTATTTACCTCAGTTTACGTGCGCGGACATTTAAATCTTTTCCGAGATCTTTTCCCTCGAGTATACTCCACACCGAAAAATCATTCACGTCGGGTTTACGCCCACGAGATTCCCCCACTCTTTCGGCTATTCGCGCGCTCTCCCGCTTCCCGGGTATTTTCCTTCTCACTTTTCTTCGTCTACATATTGAAACCGGCGGCGTTTTTTCCACGTGGTTGCCGGCAACCCCTCGCGTGGTCTCTTGACTCGGAGACCGCTCGCTTTTCGGCGCGGTCACGTGGGAGAAAAGAAGGACCGGAGTAACCGCTTGTTTTTCATGCTGAAGCGGCCGCACGCGCCTCGTACGAGGCACTTTTTCGGCAAATCGACCGGAAAAGCCCGCTGTTAGAGACGTATGCGACTGACAAATCATATTAATGGTGATTCTCGAGAAAACGTGCTATCGTCAACAGCACGAGTTCCATTTCGCATAGTGATGTCGTCGTGTCGATATGAATGCAGCTCATCGGTTAGGTCGACATTAACCGCGTTGTGATTCATGTTTCGTTCAATTTAGCGCGAGGAAAAACCTATTACAATTGTTACATAGAAAGAAAATCAATAATAGATATTCTCATATATAAGCTAGAATATTATGATATTCTTAAAAGATTTTTAGTCTTGAATTGAATGCAAGTAATACTTGCATCGATACAAATTCAACCAAATCAAGACTGAACACTTTCTATGAAGATAATAACATTCCTGCTTACGCATGAGAGATATCCATCATCGATTTAAAAATAATCTTTTCCCGTGTACAACGTGCAATGAGAATACATTAATAGACAGAAACTGAATGGAATCTAGGAAAACTGCATATATTTCTACCGGGGTACCTCTCGGCACAATTTTGAGTCACACCGGCACTCTTCGCCCCATGTTCGCCGGCTCGCAGGTCATCGCAGATCAAAACGACACGCGGATCCCGTTCGTGAGATTTGCCGAGAATCGTAGGTGGAACTACGATGGCGATCGCATTGCCGACGTTATTAAATTCTCGGTTTATCCTGAAGTAGGTATTCTAGACAATCCGCGCGTCCGTCGTTCTAGGCCGACAATAGAGCGCACATCGGCGCCTATTATCCGAGGACATTGTCCACGCGAACTGGTCTTCAGGGCGTTACTGCCGGTCAAGCCCCGGAAGTGATTCGACAATGAAGCACATTATGTGCTCTCTCTCTCACCTCCCTTCGCTCTACCACCTCCCCCTATCCGTCCATGGTGCGGCCTAACGTCCTTATTAACTACCTTAGTGCACACAAGTGCAACACGACCATTTCCCTCCTCCTGCATCCGAGGCTCGCGTTGGGCATGTCAAATCGATAGCCGATCCCGGTCGGCGGGATTCGTCGCTCGCCAGTTCTCAAGGCGTAGGGTTACGCTTTCACCGTCTTGCGATTTCCCGTATTTGAATTTGAAATGAGAGAAAGAGAGCCGAGGCGACGTCGTCGGTCGCGCTGGAGTGGCCGCATGCCAGGATTCGCGGCCAGGATCGAGGAGAGAAAGAGAGAGAAGGAGAAATGGCAAGAAACAAGTGACAATCAGTGACGCCGGGATCTCCGTTATTGTCCGAGCTGTCACGCGTCTGACGCGCCGGAATGTCAAAGGATCTCCCCCTCCCTCCTCTCCTGCCCTCTTCCCATACGTCGTGGTCATCTATGCGAATACTGGCCAAGAAGGACGCAG